AGGGTTTTCAAAGGCATTGCCTATTATCCTCACCAAATAAACTGAATAAACTTCAGTGAATGTAGACGTCTGCTGTATGTCTTAAGTCCAAATTCTTGTCTGAAGCTCTAGGGTAATATGGATCCTGGGAGCCAAGACGAACTTCACCTTATTATGCAGTGGTAACGGGGATCCTCCGATAAACATGGCATGGCGATAAACCTCTCGCAAGAAGTGTAAAATATGCACCACTTGCTGCGGAACCAGTCAATGAACTGATGGCTTACGCACGATTAAAGGCTCACTTCAAAAACCACTCCAGCATCCTCATGTACGCACCAGACTCCCTTGCTGAACTGCGCGATAAGGAATCGTTTAGTTGCAGCTGCAAGCATTCTTTGAAAGACTCCCTCGCGGCAGTCTGCGGACTATTGCCAGGGACTACGGCTCTGCAAATTATTTTGTTTAGTGGGCGTATTTTGGTTAGTTCTCGTTGTAAAAATTGTGAAAGAGAAATGAGCTCTGCCGATTAGAACTGTCTCTTTCGCACCAACACAGCACGGCAGCAAATATCTGCTAATTTGGCAGTCAAAAGACGGTATTTGCAACAAACGCGATCGATTACTGAAGAGTTTTCGGCAGGGCTAGTCGGTTTTTAGGTAGCAGTATGCGGTAGCAAATTATGCCCTGCAGTAAATTGGCTAGTCCTCATCCGATAGGTTGTAACAGTTGAGAGACTGTATCAAAGACTCATTCTAATGTAGCGAATGACCCTCCAGACTTAGGATTGCTGTTAAGTTGGCCATCGTCTGCTCACTCTGTGATAACTTTATTTGATAAAAGAGCGTGGGTGTCCATTAGGTCGGAGGAAGTCATGACGATATTGTTCTTTTGTTCTTATATCAGCTGGCGTGCTGCAATGTCGTTCAACTGTTTAAAATAGAGTGCAGATGCAGGTATGTTTGTCAGACAAGTGACTGCTATTTAAATGTAGTATTTGCTTTATGTTGGTGGCTTTTCTGAATACTGTAATTAATAATAGTCCAGTTGCACACCGGCGCACAAAGACATTTAGGAAGGGAAATTGGTTTCTTGTTTCACTTTTAGTCGTGAACTAGATATTCAGGTAAACTGAGTTCAGTAATTAGTTGAGGTGCTTGATGTCATATTTTTTGGTAAGGAAGAAGACTCAACCACATAGCGAGTGCCACATGTGGCCCGATATTTGGTGAGCAACAAATGCTTTATCCGTGGAAGGATCACTTCAGCGGTCATGTCTGATAGGGGGAGCCTATCAGAGTATATCAAATTTGTTCAAGCATTTCTCCACGAAATATGAAATGCGTTTTGAGGCAGTACCGTAGAACCTCGAATAAGTGTTCTTTCTTCAGCGGTTTGTCCCTCTCGTTGTAGCGTTCGGTAAGAAGTTGTTTTATATCATCTACCGCCAGTTACTATGGTATGAGGGTGAAGATTGAAACGTCATCAAAGGCTACCACAGACTCATCTGGCCCCAACGGTAGATATTGAGAGTAGACGCCTATCGCAGCGGATCACGGCAACGCAGCCAAGTTGTCTGAACTGTCGACAAAAATGCAAACCTGATCGGTGAGCAACTTACAGTTCTTAGATATGAATCCCTGAACTCTTACAATCTCGAGCGAAAAATAATTTTTAGAGTGGCAACATTGAATTATTCCGGCTGCTAGTTTGAGAAATAGGTGGGCTCACCGAAACAGATTTATTGAAATTTTGACTTTTTAGAGTGTTTGATCGCCTCACCACAGCCAGGACACATCTAGACTTATCTATTAATTCTCCTGCTCCTATGGAGGGGGAAAAATTGACCGCGCAACGAGACGTCCGGAAAAGGGGCTACGCGAAATAAAAAACATCCACGCTGGATAAAGGTAAAAATCGATCGATTTCAGGGTCAATTTTCGCTCACTCAATAAAGACGAACCACCAAAGTGAAGGCTAAGAACATCTAATGGGCACCAGAAGACTACTGTTTATACCTTGCCAACGGAAACTAGCGACTGCAGTTGCTATATGGTGAAATAATCCGGCAATTGTTTGTAAAACGATGTTTGTACAAGCATTCCGCCTTCCTTGGCCTATCTCGAGTTGTGATCGCACAGCGTTTCGACCCCTCTATAAAAGTCATACACATGCCACGCTCATATTTTATACCGAAACTCTTCCCTCCTGCTACGGTGTTTCCAAAACGCTTATTCCACAAGGCAGGTGGCGTGGAAATGAACATGAATAACCCTTCCACCTTCTACCTACAGACACCCTTCCCACAGCTCACGAGTCCGTTACCCATGTTAATTTAGAGGTCTGATGCTTAAGTACTAAAATCAGGCGTTCACGTGTCGACTTTTCAAACGCACCATCGCAATTTTTGCATAAGAGCTATATGGGCTGGCTTATCCCCACCTTCTCCGAATGCAAGCAAACGAAAAACGCCAAGAAAACTACACACATGCTTGTATAAAATCTGATTGCTATTGGTAAAATGAAGCAAAGTACTTAATTTCATTGTAGGCGGCAAATGAGCCTGTCAGCTTTCAAGCCTTTTATGGTCTCATGGCAATAGTATCCATCGTAGAGTGGCCTGCATGCGCTGCAGAAGTTTAATCAGGGGCGAACAGTCCACCAACCTTGACTATCTAATACTTCGGCTGCTCGACGAATTCGCTGTCTCAGAGCATCGTAGTCTTGTTTAAAGCAACGGCGGATGGCTTCTACAAGATCTCGCTTGGAGTGCTTACGCTCCGCATCCCAGTCAGCGAAAACGTCTAAAATGGATGCTAATTCATTGCAGAACTTTCAACCTACTTTCAATTACTGAGTAGATGTTGGAGAGTTCGAGACCGACCTTCTTGCCCTGTCCGGAATAATTCAAATGGGCACTGATTTCCCTGTCGAACAGAGCTCGGAAGATGTTTCTGGCGAAATGGGCGACATCTTTTCCGCCCAGCGTGGCTAGGAAGTTTGCCTGCAAAATAATTGTAAAAAATTCAGTTCAACTTACCAGTTGCTGACGGTTGAAGGCGTCTGAGAGGGTAGTATCAAATCGCCGGAATTCATCCGGGGTCTTAAGCGGGTGTTCAAGGGGGTTCTGCGGCCTTCTACTGGTCACCCTGTCCATCCCCATCTGTCTCCTCTCCAAATGAGTCACACGTCGGTCGAGGTGACGGATACTGCTGAGGACTCTGTCTGTTCAGGACTGAACCAATGCACACAACAACTTGCCTTCAAAGGCGGCCATTTGCTTTGATAGACTACGAAGTTCTGCGAGAACAGCGTGGTCCGTTGAGTTAGTATCCATTGGGACCGGCGTACAGGCAGGAGTTGGCTCAGTCAAGGGCAACAGGGTCCTCGGCCAGGAATCAGCTTCTGAAAGTCCATCCTCGGAGGTCTAGACAGGCTAATAGGTTGATTGGTAACAAGAACCCACTGTACACAGGGGGGAGGCTTCCCCGTCGTTGAAGCTGAGAAACTCTGGGATCTCCGACTCCCTCCTCATTCTTGTTGGACTTACAGTGCTGCTTGGATGTACATGAGACATGGTTTATTCCTCGAGAAGATGGCGTAACTTTGGCCGCACAGGGCACAGTTTAAATGACTCTAAAATTGGGACTGTTTGTTTATATAGATTGAAAATTGTGAATTGAGAAAGGGGGAGCTGAGTAAAGATAAAAAATATGTTTATCCAAAAGCGGAACCTGAGTGGTAGTGAATGTTACACGAATTTTGGGTCATATTGTATTTTTTAAGTACACGATTTTAAGGTGCAGACTAAGGATACTCAGGGGAAAGGAATGAGAACAATGTATATCCCTGCCACATATGTTTGCCAGTATGATGCTGATTCATAATTTGGCCTCCAAAATGGGCTAGTCTGGAGACAGGTCAGTGACTAGAAGGCGTGCGAATACGCCTATGCACAAGTTCACACTGCATCATCCACCTGCGCAAGTTCCCGCCTCCGGTTTTCCTGATTATACCCATCCAGCTGTAGGACATAATGTGGTAATAAGCGGTAACGCCAGTCGAAATGTCCGTTCCTTATTAGCCATTGTTCTTATAGTGTACACCTGGCAGCACAATCATTTTCGAATCCTTTATGAATATTTATGGCTTCCGTAGAGTTGAGAGGGGCGTTTTGAGATCCGTCGCGGATCCCACATCAAAAACATAAACAAACATCAGTAGCAGAAACAGATTTCTGGCTTACTAGCCGTTGTACGCCAGTCATATCCAGACTCATGTGGTGTCACACCCGAGCCTCCACTTTGAGGCGACTAATGCTTTAGGCAGAACACACATTACCCATGAAGATAAGGGAGACTGGGCTGGCCATTTCTGACTTATTAACCGTCGTCAGCCAGTCATACACAGATCCAGTGTGTCCTCTGACTGATCGGTG